TAAAGAGAACAGTTAGGAGCAGGTGTTGAAAAAATTGATACTAACTGGAAAATGCATTAATTCCAATAAATCAATTGAATATAGGTTGACATATTATATAAAATACTGAATTAAAAGGCTGGGTCCAAAAAAAAAAAAATAACACACTTAAAACAAAGGTTTTAGGAGAACAAATTTTTGTAAAAGATCAACTAATGTGTTTGTTAAGTTATAGAACAGTATACAGGTTATCTGAATAAAATTGTTTTCAGAAACTGATCTATAATATAAAAATATTGTTATATTTCTACCATCTTAAATTTCTAAGTCACTAAAAAAAGAAAACCACAGATTGCGCAACTGTCGGTAGCTTGCTACCTCTGGCCAAGGGTACCAGATCTAGATAAGGGAATAGATTAAGGTTTGCTGAATGCCAATGAATTGCTCAGGAGCTTGCAAAGTAGCCAAGCATTTTTGGATCTAGTTCTTCCTCAGCATGCAAAATGTAAACAAGAGTTAAAGGAATCAGGAACTGAGACACTAACTCAAAGCAGTATAGACCATAGGCAAACAGGTAATCCTGACCAAGGATCCCAAGAAGGATCACTACAGAGAGATCTGATCTTAAGACGAATGTTAGGAAAAGATGCAATCAATATCTGATTGACCCCTCTAGCATGAAATGCAGCTCAAATTTATTTATTTACATTTGATCCTGCTTGTCCTTTATAAACTGTCACAGTACAGTGATTTGAAACCAAAAAAGATTTTAATTTTTTAAAATGTTTTTTATTTATTTTTGAGAGAGATAGAGACAGCATGAACAGAAGAGAGTGAGAGAGAGGGAGACACAGAATCCGAAGACAGGCTCCAGGCTCCGAGCTAGCTGCAGCACAGAGCCCTACGCGGGCCTCGAACCCACAAACTGTTAGATCATGACCTGAGCCTAAGTCAGATGCTTAACCTACTGAGCCACCCAGGCACCCCTGAAACCAAAAAAAATTCTAATCAAACCTTGCACAATTTAGGAGAAATTCTAATCTCCTTGCACAGGAGAGAGAACTCTGATGTTCATGAAGTTTCTAGTGAAAAATTGTGTAGCCTGATTTTGCTTCATGATATGCCTGCTGCTCTAAATTAACCTTTATTAACAACATTATAAATAAAGGTAAGTTCAGATTAGTCAAAATCTATATTTTTAAAGTTTTATTCTCATAAATAAAATTATAAATATAAAAGACTTAAATTGAATTAAAATGTATTAAATGGAACATTCATCTTTGAAATACATCCAACTCTTCTAAACCAAACAATAGAGAAGTACAGAATGCACTTTTAAGTACCTAAAATAAATTAAAATATCCATGAAATAATTTGGCTCTAGCTAAATAGTGGTATTTTTTAAAAACCTGCATGAGCAAGTAAAGCAATAAGAGAGAAATAGGTCAGTGTCCAGTTTAAGAAACCCAACACAAAATATGGTTAAGTTGGACTAAGAAAATAACCGTAACACCTAAATTAAAAATTCACACTTATATAATCATAAGCTGACTGTTGCAAAGGATGAAAGGATTCAAAAAATATTTTACTATATATAAATAACTCAGGCAATTAATAGCTCTTTGGCCATTCCTTAGTAAGTATCTTGAGCTAACTTATACCCGAATTTAGCACAGTAGAAAAATGTTAGTGGTCTAGTAATCATAAAAATGCATCATTCACTTAGCAAGGTTTATTCTAAGATAATATGAATGTTGTGGTTTCAAACCATATAAATCTAAAACCATTCAAATGGATGATTTCAAAGATATAAAAAAAAAACACTGTCCGGGAACTGTTTACATGCAGGTACCTTTGTAATTCAGATTTTTCTTGTAGGTCATGGAGAAGACACGGTTAATCAGTGTGTTACCTTTGAGATAGACTGGGAAGCCTCATGTTAGACTACTTCTCTCCAAAATAGCAGTCAGTGGGTAGACCCCCAGATGTCTCAATGCTAGTGGATGAGGACAAGGACCAGAAAGAGAAAGGCAGAGCTCAAGTGGTGGTTCTTCCACAAACACCTCCAGATCTGAATGTATTCACCCAACACGACAACATCAATCAGTTTTTATGTAGTTCACAGTAGCTGTCATGGCTTTGTCCCCCTAGACTGACACCATCAGGGTAAAATTTAACAAAAAAAATTGCATGGATAAAAAATATTAATATAGGGGTGCAGGGGTGGCTCAGTTGGTTAAGGGTCTGACTTTGGCTCAGGTCATGATCTCGAGGTTCATGGGTTCGAGCCCTGCGTTGAGCTCTGTGTTGACAGCTCAGAGCCTGGAGCCTGTTCGTGGATTCTGTGTCTCCCTTTCTCTCTGCCCCTCTGCTGCTCATGCTCTGTCTCTCTCTCTCTCAAAAATAAATAAAAGCTTAAAATTTTTTTAAAAATATTAATATAAATATACACAAGAGTATAAAGTATTCCTAATATTTGTTTATAGAAAAAAGAAACTCCAATTATCTATCGAAGATCAATCAATGCTTTCTCATTAAATTCTTAACAGGACCATCATGCCCAGGAGCTACCTATACAATTGATTCCTGGATCTCTGCAAACTGTGATTGGCAGGGTGGTCCCAAGGTCAAATAAAAAGACAAAAAACACCAGTATGGAAGGTATAGCTCATAAACATGAAGAATAACTGCTGTGGGAGGTGACATTTTAATTCTTCACTAAATAAGAGACAATATTTAATGATACATTTTAAATTGCTGCAATGTGCATCTCTATGTCTCCATCATCTGATTTCACTACTCTACAGATGGCTGCGGAGTGGAGGTCTCTGGCTTCCAAAACCACGGGTCAACGAAACTACCATAGAAACCATTTGAAACCTAACACTGAAGCTACTTCAGCTTTCCTACAATTACACTGGAGACCAAGGGAATTTTTTTAACGGTAAAAGTGCAATTCCTTAACGTGGGCATTCTGCACACCATCAAATGTAAGTATAAAAACAACAAAACACTATCCTAATAGTAAACATTTTAACAAAATGCTTGACTTCCATGGTTTTCAAGGATAACTAATAACAGAGTTAGTGCAAAATTCAACACTGTAGCTTTCTTAACATTACTTGTAACTTTAATGGTGATCAAAAACCGTGGTTTGACAGAAAACAGTCCTGGTGTTATACTGTGACAGAGATCATGCACATAAGTTTGCAATATAAACCACCATTCTCCCAGGTTATATATGTATAGCAGCTTTTACACTTCTCATTATTTTAAATTATAAATGTCCACAATTGGAAAGATGTGCTCCTTTATGCTATCTGGAATCTACATAATTAAAAGGAATTGATTGAAAAACTTCAGACATCACTGGGTAAAGTTACAAGAGATTCAAGAAACAGCCGAATGAGCAAGTATAAAGGGAATTATTCTTTGATGCTTGTTTCATCAACATTTACATCACCACACCAGCATGTCAAGATAAGAAAAGTAATTTCCAATGAAGGAAAGTTAGTTCCACATAAAAGTATCCTTTATATTGGGAAGAAGCTAAACCAAAGTTTCCACTTGAAGTAATAGGAGAATCAGTTTATTATAATATTTCTTAAGCGCAAAAGAGGAAGTAAGAATGGAAGCACTGTGCAAATTTAATGAAGTTACCAAGTCATCATAATCCTCCCATTTTCTCTTGGAAAGAACCATGAAACCTTATTCAATTCTGATAAGAGTTTTTGTTTTGTTTTGTTTTGTTTTTAAATAAATGAAGAGTATAAAAAGAGGGCTTTGTCTGAGCAGTTAAAACACTTATTTAAAAAACAATTATCTGAAGGGAAAAACACAAAGCCATCTGGATGCTGACAAGCCAATCAGATCGCCCGAGATCTGTAAAATTAGTTTTGAGGTGGAGGTGTCAGCAGTGATAGTTTATTCAAAAAAGACGGTACAAAATTGTCAATTTTTAAAGCCTGTTATATAAGTCAAACTATGCTTTTCTTTCCTATACTTTTTGAATGTGTATTTATTTTTGAGAGCGAGAGCGCGCGCGCAAGAGCAGCGCAGAGGCAGAGAGGAGACGCGATAGGAAGCGGAGGCCAGGCTCGCGCCGACTGCAGAGTCCCACGGGGGCTGCAGCTCACCAACCCCTGAGACCACCGCCCAAGCTGAGCTCCAGTCGGATGCTCAACCTCGGGGCCATCCCCGCGCCCCTTTCCTGCAATTTTGATCAACGTTAAGACCGGCGGGGGGGGGGGGGGGAGGCTAATATTAGGTAATCGAGTTCTGAAACAATCCCAAAGCAAGTTCAACTTAGAACTCGTTCCACGAGTTCGTTACTTAAGAAAAGCAGCTCTTCTGTTTAATCTTTTGCGTGAAAAAAAAAAAAAAAAACAACTGCCTACAACTAACAATAAAACTGGGCTGAGCAACTGGGAAAAAACTCACTAGAGTTCTACTGGAAAAAAAAACCAAGACCCACTCATTGTATTAAAATAATACAGGAAATGGCAGGGAACGGAAAGGAAAGAAGGAAAGAAGAATGAAGGGGAGGAAGGGAGGGAGGCAGGGAAAGAAAGAAAGAAAGGAAGAAAGGCGCTGGGCTCACATGACCTGTACGTGCTGTTCCAGCTCTGGTTCTAATTTTAGCGGATCTTTTGATTGGGGGGTGGAGGAGAGGCGCACTTTTACATATTCACTCACGAAAAGGGGGCGCACACAAATCTGGCCACGTCACCCGCGGCAGCGCCCCACCGGCGGCCACCGGGCAGGTTCCGGCGGGCGCTCTGCGGAATACGCCGGGGCACAGGGAAGGCGGGGGCGGGGTAGGGTGGGGTGGGGTACGGTGGGGTGGGGTGGGGTGGGGGGAAAGCAACGAAAGGGGAAACAGGAAGGGTATCCCAGACTTCTCCAAGGCAGATTTCGCTTCCTCCCAAACTTTTTTTGGCTTTCGGACGAATTCTACAACTCCCCTGACACAGCTTACAAAGTTGGCAAATGCAAGGCGGCGCGGGGGCGCACGGTCCTACCTGTGCCATGGCGACTGCTCAGGTCAGGAAAAGGTGATGCAAACCTGTAAGAGAGGAGAGACACGGCCGGTTTAGCGAGCCGCAGACCGGCCCTCCCCGCGCCTCCCCCCTCCGGACCGAGTCCCCGCTCCGGCTAGGCGAGCACTCCCCCGCGGGTGACAGAGGGACCCTAGGGCTCCGAACCTCCGGGACAGCCTGGGGGCGCGGGACGGCGGCGCGCAGGGCAGGGCAGGGATGCGAGCGCGGTAGGTTCCAGGCAACTGCTCTCAGCCCACTCCAAGCAACGGAAACACCACCCGCCCCGCCCCGCCCCGCCCCGCCCCGCCCGCGGCCTGCCACGGGGCCCGGGGCCCGCCCCTCCCCCGGCCCCACTGCGCCTGCGTAGGGCGCCCCTCGTCCCAGGCCTCGCAGACTGGGTGGGGTTGGGCTGCAGCCGTGTTGGAAGCGGCCGGAGGCGCGGCTCCGGAAGGGCCGCTGGACTGCCTTGTCGTCGCGCAGCGGGGAGGGCGTGGGGTCTCTGGCCAGGGCTCTGGGTTTGGGGTCACTGGGGCCTCTCTTCTCTCCGTGGCTGCAGGGAGGGTGGTGGCTTCGTGGAGCTGCTCTGACATAGCGTGGCTGAGTCGAATTTTTGCAAGGCGAGACAAAGTCACTGAGGCCAAGGACAGTGAGTCTTTCACCATGGTGTAGAATAAGAGTGAAGTTTTGAGGGGTATTTCCCAAGTTTGTTTTTAAGTAAACAAATAAGAAAGTTACAGTGGTTGCTTCCTAGATAAGACTCTCTCTTGAATGTATATAGCTCTTTGGTAGCTTATGAAGAATTTTAAAACCTCTGCTTAGGTCAGTTCCTATTTTACAAACCAGCCTAAAATTTTAACAAAACTTAAATTTCACGGGGCACCTGGGTGGCTCAGTTGGTTAAGCATCCAACTTCAGCTCAGGTCATGATCTCATGGTCCAGTCCCTGAGTTTGAGCCCCGCCATCGGGCCCTGTACTGACAGCTCAAGCCTGAAGCCTGCTTCAGATTCTCTCTCTCCCTCTCTCTCTCTGTCTCAAAAATAAATAAAACATTAAAAACATTTTAAAAATTTCACCTCTGCTCTGTATTCATTCAACATAAACTATGTAAGTACATGAGAGAGAGACAGAGATTAGCTCCAAGATATTGTGCTAGGCTGGTACAGAAAAAGCAAAGATAGATAGTGTCCTTCATAGACTTCCTCGTGTTGGGGATGAAAGGCAAGAAGGCAACCTTGCAACACTAGACTGGATAAAATATTCTCAGATGAGAAGAGCAGTGCTGTGGAGATTCAGGATAAGAGATTGGAATCTAGTCTGCCTTGGGGAATAAAGAAGAGGTCTTTTTCCCCTTAAATGGAGAACAATTGTGATTCTTGTATAGAACATCTCATTATCTGGGGCCCCTGGGTGGCTTGGTCAGTTAAGCATCCAACTCTCCATTTCTGCTCAGGTCAGGATCTCATGGTTTGTGAGTGAGAGCCCTGCATTGGGTGGGCTCTGTGCTGATAGTGTAGAGCCTTCTTGGGATTACGTCTCCCTGTCTCTCTGGCCCTCCCTCACCTGCTCGCTTTCTCTCTCTCTCTCAAAATAAATAAAAATAAACTTCAAAAAATTGTAAAAAAAAAAAAAAAAGAGAGAGAGAGAGAGAGAGAAAACATCTCATTTTCTTTCACCTGTTAAGCCACATGCTTAATAGGCCCTGACAAAGTCCCCGCAGACTGATTTTTTACTGGATGGAAAGGCAAAGCTGAAAATTTTGTGGAGCTTGCAACACAGCTCAGAGCCTGGAGCCTGTCTCAAAGGCTCCCCTTTCAGCTTGCCTTTCCCCTTGTCTGGGAGCCTCTTTTGAACCAGTCCAACATCTCTGTGTGGCCTCCAGCTCCCACAGCATTCTTCACAGGCCCATACATCTGAAGGCAGCCGTTTCTCTGCATCTTTCCCTCCTCACGTGCTCTTTGCTTTCTCTCTGCCTTTCACCTCCAGCATTCTTTTTCCCATACATGTCTACTTGAACTCCATTTCTTTTTTTAATATAAAATTATTTACTTATTTAAGGGGGGGAGAGGGAGAGAGAGAGAGAGAGAGAGAGAGCGCGCGCACATGCGCGCGAGCAAGTGGGGGTGGGGCAAAGAGAGGAGAAAAAGAATCCCAAGCAGGCTCAGCACCATGAATGCAGAGCCCCGATGGAGGGCCTGAACTCACAAGCCACAAGATCATGACATGACCCAAAACCAAGAGTCAGACACTGAACCAACTGAGCCACCCAGGAGCCCTTGAACTCAGTTTCCATTTTCCCCTCTCTCACTTCTGACTCTCAGAGTAATGCAATTACATTACACCTTCTTGATTTTATAGGGAAATGCCCATCATGGGTTGATGACTTGCCCAGTGTCCTACAGCTAAATAGTGGTAGAAATAATGAATAGAAATAGAAATAGAAATAGAATAGAAATAATGAATTATTAGATCCAGTTGACATTTCTTTCACTTCTAGTCACATCAATTTATTCAAGTCCTGCTCTGGATCAGGCACAGTTCTAAATGCTGAGGAAAAGATGATGTAGTAAATGAAACAAAGTAAGTCATACATTATGGTGGAAAAGACAAAATATCTATTATGTCAAGCATAATGCATGCTATAAAGAAAATAAAGCAGGGCTAGGGACTGGGGGTGTGGAGAACACTGTTTCGCAAAGGCAGTCTGAAGGCACTTCATGAGGACAAATCTGAAATATTACAATTTAATTGTATTTGACAACTATTTACTGAGCACCAAAAATGAAAACAGAAGACACACTGTACATCACGAAAGAAATGCAGTCAAAATGCAACTGGTTCTAATGAATGGACAGCTAATATTTTGTCAAGGGAGTTTACACGATGTGACATTTAAATTAGGCTTTCAGGGAAGATACTTTACCAGGCAATGAGAAGAGAAAGGATGATCTGGTTAGGTGTAGAGCAAACAAAAGAAGGAAAGTGCCTTTTTGTGCATGGAGTGAAAAGTACATAAAGAGAAACTGCCATTTAGATGCTGCTTTGAATAGCGTATTTAATTGATGGATTTTGAATGACTGATTGTTTTAAACTCCTGGGTATTATAAATAGTGGGCACTCGGGACATTTCCTTTACTATCTATTAAAAAAAACAGGTATCTATGATCCATTTCCAAAAGTCCCTGATCAGTGTCCAAAAGTCATCCTCAGAATCTCTACCAGACTTTCTTATCTTCCTAACTAAGCTTTCTCTTTCATGCATTTAAAATCAAAATCCTTCTCACTCAGTGTATTGTATTCTTGTTGTGTTAAATGTAAGTATTGCATAATAATTTGGGGTTGTTTGCTATACTGTCATTGGGTACAAATAATAGATGTCAGCTAATTTCTGATGAGATAATCACATTGCATTCCTACCTAAAATTTTCTTTTCATTGGGGAAATATACCAAATGTCAAATAACTGATTTACAAACAAACATTTGAAACTCAGTTTATTTGTAAACGCGGGATTCTCCGGCTTTCACTTTTGTCCTTAATTATTTGGATCATTCAGGAACTAGCCAATTTATTCTAAACAAGTCACTAAACTTTTCTGTGTTGTAGTTTCTGCATCTCTCAACTTTAGTATTTTGATCATATATTCATTGACCTACTGTTTCTCTTAAATACAGTAATCAATAAAAAGAGAAAAAAATGGGTAATAGGCTCTGCATAAATAAGTATAGCTTTTCTCTAATTTTAGAAGACTGGGAGTCTTGTGTTCTAAAAGACTATAAAATTTTCAACTACTCTACTTTTAAATTTAGTTTTGTTTAATAAATATAGTTGTTACAAACTGTAATTATTTAAAGAAGAGAGAGATAAAGGAACTTGAATTGCAATAGGCCAAGGAAACAAGAGAATGCCTCCGGGTAAGGTAGGGGATAGATAGAAAGGGAAAGCAGGACTGTCCTGCTTCTCAGACCACAGCTGGAAAGAACACACCCTCTGAGGTCAGGGAGAACTAGGTTCAAGTCCCCACTGTGCGATGCACCAGGTGTGTGATCTTGGGTTTCCTTATCTAAAGTGCTGGTTAGGAGGAGTGCCTGGGTGACTCAGTCAGTTGGGTGCCAACTCTTGATTTTGGCTCAGGTCATGATCTCATGGCTCATGGGTTTGAGCCCCACATCGGGCTCCCGCCTCTGGCTCCATGCTGGCAGTGAGAAGCCTACTTGAGATTCTCTCTCTCTCTCCTCTTTCTCTCTCTGTCCCTCCCCACTTATGCCATCCCCCCCAATAAATAAATAAATACTCTTTAAGAAAAATTAAGTGGTGGTTAGCATTAAATGAGCTACTTTGTGAAAATGCCTAACAATTGGTTTGAAGGATTGATTTTCCCTCCTATTTCTTCCTCCTTCCCAAAACTACAATTCTCAGCTGCTATTCTGACGATTCAGCCTCCACTCTCACAACAACAAAATTAGCCTCTTTTAGTACCACTGCTCTCCTGCAGCAGGGCCCATCTTATCAGGTCTGGCAGGCTCCAACTTTTGGGCCCCAACCTGATAATTCTTGGTGCCATTTCCCTTCTGCCTCCTATTCTTCCTCATCCAGAGTCTTCCATCAGTGGCCCCTATTGACATACAACTAACCTAGACTTGTGACATGCAAGCCCCCAGAGTCCCCATCTGATAGTGCCCAAGACTCCAGAAGCACCACTTGGAATTCAGTTCAAGCCACCTACCTGGCTTCAGCTCGTCCATCCATGAGCATCTTGGGGTGAGAAGTGGAGGTGAGGCCGCATTCCTCTGTAGGTTTTGCCCTGTTTGCCTCATCACTTCTGCATGCCAGCTGTGATCCTGGAATGCAGACAGCATTCCAGTGGCTCCCTATCCTTGCCCTTTAGATTTAAAGTGTGTATAGTATCCTTAGGGAAAATAGGTCCAGGTTTACTTTCAGAACCTTTTCTTGAGCCGATGGTGCTAAATTATTAGAGGACTCTTTAATCTCCCCTTATTGAGATCCATGTGCTCACCAGAAATTACAAGCAGAGATTCCTCAGGAGATTCTTGGCTTTAGATGTCCTTCCACTCTGTTTACTCAAAAGAATATTTGTATTTATCCAGTAAAATGTAAATCAACTTCCTTAGCAGGAGACTGGAATGTAGGTCTTGGATAAACAGTTAGGTAAAAAAGATTCTCATAGGAATCTTTCAGAAAGAATGTTTTAAGCTTGATTGAAATCTTCGAGCTATTAGCAATAACAAGCAGTAAGAATACTCAACCTAGTTATAAA